CCCTTCATTCTGAACTGTGGTCGGCATCCCACGACACCTGCCACGCTGTCCCAGCAGCGACAAAAGTCTTATGCCGACATGAAACGCCGGGAAGTCTCTTTTGAGGTTGGAGACAAGGTATTATTGAGCACGAAGAACATTCGTCTCAAAATCCCTGGGGCACGAAAGCTGTTCCCTCGATGGATTGGGCACGAAAGGTGATCCAGCGCGTTGGTGTGGTAGCTTACAAGTTGAAGTTACCCGAAACATTGTAGATTCACAATGTCTTCCACGTGTCTCTGCTCAATAAGTACATTGCTGACGGCAAGTACTTACCTCCTCCAACGATCGTCCTCAGAGAGGAACTCTTTTATGAGGTCGAGCGTGTGCTCATGCACCGTGATCGACAGCGCGGCCGCAAGTCAGTACGTGAGTTCCTTATTAAGTGGAAAGGCTATGGGCCTGATCACAACTCATGGGAGCCAAAGGAACATTTGACCGAAACTGCGGTTCACGGATATCTGGAAGACCTGGCTCAAAGAGTAGCCTCACAACCAATGGATGGTGTTGACCCTGGTCGTAATGTGATTCGGCGCGCTTGAAGCACCCGTCCCCAGAAGCACTCTACGGCAACGAGGACGTTGCCACCTAGAGGGGGAGGAGTGTAACGCATGGCCGCTGCATAGTACACGGGCCTAGAAACGACCATCCCAACCACCTTTCACAAATTGGCTACCTAGGTAGCGCGAAATGGGAAGGAAGGGTTGGGAGGGGAGGATTGGGATTGGTCGGTACTTGGGACCAATCAGATTTTAGTTGTACAAATTGAGTTGGCGAAATTCCCAACACATGCGATGGTTGGATTTGTGACCAATCAGAACCAGGGAGTTGGTTGGCAATGCCAACTCAACTCGAATATTCTTATGCTGTACACTGTATGCTAATCTGAATACATTGCTGTAAACCTTTCATTGGTTGGAAATCCAACCCTTTTGCCACATAAGCTAGCTCACCTCCTTGGAGCCATGGAGGAGGTTGAGCAGCTGCTGGGAGTCATTGGAAGGGGTCTGGGCTGAGAAGCTCATTCTCAACTTCCCACTCCAAGAAATCAATCTTGAAATGGGATTTTTCTCTAAGTCATGAGCTCTCCTCACAAGACTTCTTACACTAGTAGCTTCTAGTATAGTCTCCTAGGGGAAGCCCTACCCAACCAGAGCTTCAAGTACTATCCTCCAAGAGTTTTCTTCAAGCTTAAGCTACCTCTTGGAGGGGATTCTTCCTAAGTACAACGCTAGGATATCGTTAGTTGACTTTGTACTCCATTATTATGTCCTAGGATCTTGGGTGTTGGTTTTTGACTTTAACCCTTGTTGCCCATGCTATAAGGGCAAGGGTTGTTACATTGGTATTCAGAGCAAGGTTAGTCTTAAGCCTTGTGGGACTTTTCTTGATATTTTTTTTTTAGAGGGGTGATTGGACCTCAATCCAAGACATTGGTGTGAAGATTTGAAGATCTTTCAAGACATTTCAAACTTCTCCAAATAATTTGACAGCTTCTTCAAGATCTTGACCAACTCCAACCTTTCTCAAGTCCATTTTCCAGTACAACCTCTTCTTCTACCTCCACCATTCAAGATTTGAAGAGAGATCATTTTCTCTCTTACCCACCTTGTTGGTGGAAGACTCCCTTGAGGAGTGTGGTTCAGATCTGCGATCTGTTGCAAGATCTAGCTTAGATCTTGCCCTAGCATTGAGGTGCTATGGATTGGGCAACAGATTGTCATTCATGTAATTTCTCATATTAAGTAATTCTGTAAAGAGATCTCTTTATTAAGATTGTCTTGCCCTCTCATTGCGGTAATTGGGACTTTAACAGATTTCTTAAGAGATCTTAAAGAACATTTCAGATCTGTTGCAACCTCTTCCTTATATTACCATGACTTCAAGTCAAGGTTTGGAGAACTTGGAGAGGGAGGAGCCTTATGTGACTCCTGAGAGAGCCAACCTTGCTGCTAATAATAACCAACAGCAAGATGAGGCAATGGCTGATATTGAATTGGTGGACCTAAACTTGGAGAATGAGGGCAATGAAGAGCATGGAGAAGCAGAAGGGATTGATGGAGCAAAGGGGGAGGATGATGGCATCGAGGCATGGTCGCTCTCCGATGATGTGGCTAAACTCCAGGCACAAGTCTCAGAGCAGCAGCTTACAATAAATCAGCAGAAGGGACACATCAACTCCCTCAATATTGCTTTGGCAACACAAAAGGCGGACATGACTAGGCTGCAAGCCAATCTCAATATGGCATACGGAGAGGTACGGGATCACAAGCGTTTGCTACATAACCAGGGCAATCAAATCCTGGCTCTGGAGAATTCGTGCGACCGGCTGCAAGCTGCTATTACCCAACTGCAGACTACAATTGCCCAGCTGCAATCTACTATCGCCCTGATGCAACCTGCTATTGCCCACTTGGAGAACCAGTATAGGGATATTCGGAGGGGTCCTATCTACCAACACTCACCCATCGGGCACCCAATCCAACCCGCCGCCTGTTGCAGCTCCTTCAAGCACTTCAGCAGCGTGTCCAGCCTATGGCAACGCCTTTTGGCTCGCTCCCCACTGCGCTCCCAAAATTCATCCATGGCAAGACGGATGTTGAGAACTGGGTGACAACTGTGGATGAAATGCTGACTCTCCACAACGTGCGCAACAACGCTCGTGTCACCGCTGTCTCTAGCGCGTTGGATGAGCATGCTAGTCAAACCATGTTTGCTAGCTGGAAGCAGCTCGAAGCAAGTGGAAAGGTTTTCACTTGGGACAAGTTCTGTGCTGCAATGAAAGCGGCTTTCCTTGGCAAGACAACTGACTTGGAGGTGCGTCGTCGCCTTGAAAACATCAAGTGCAGCGATCGCTCTGTGCAGAAATATGCACAAGAGTTTGAGAGCGTTATGCGACTGCTGGGCAAGCAACTGTCTGAGAATGAAGTTATGTATATCTTCTTCCAGCACTTGCCTCAGTCCCTGCAGGATAAGCTTGTCGCAAATGGCCTCAACAAATGGAGCACCTACAAGGAGCTCAAAGAGGCGGTTCAAGCAACGGACGAGACTGTTCGTATGCTAGCAACGCCTTCCATCGAAGGACTCAGGTGAAGGGTGATGGTGGCAATGGAGGTGGTGGCCAGTGGAATTCCAAGGGGAAGGGCCATGGGTACAAGAGGCCCTTCCACCAGAATGGTAACCAGCAGCGTCCTCCGGCTAAGAGGGCCAATGGTGGCGGTTACAAAGGGCCGCCAAGGGACTTCACTAATGTCGTGTGCCGAGGGTGTGGCCGCTGTGGTCACATGGAATTTCAGTACTGCTATAGGAATATCATAAAGCATAGTGGTAAGCCTAAGGGCAACAACAATGGCGGCGAAGGACCTTCTGGCAGTAAGAAGGATTTTCAGAAGTCCAACTAGGGTGTGGGTACCTAGTTGGTCAGATAGATCGAGGGGATGAGGCATATGCTTTATGTGACGATGATTTACTAAAGCTAGAGAAGCTTGCTGAATGCAAAATCTCTTGTTTGTTTGCCTCTTCTTTTAATAAAAAATCGATATTCGCACCTCGATCGTACCCACTTGATTCTATATCCATCAAAGCGTTACGAGATAAATTCTCAGTCTTTTACTGTGGCCTGGACACATTGCCTTCTGTACTCAAGAGCACCCCCTGACCGCGGTCGCCGTGGTGACTCGTACAGTAAAGGGCGAAACGTTTTAATCGCTTCGTGGATGGGTTGTGTTGGCATCTTGGGACAAGGGACACCATGGTGGTGGACCAAATCTGAATCCTTTGGACGAGCCCGCCACAATGTCAAGGTGTACTACAAACCCTCGTCAAACATTGTGGCATGCCCCATCCGCCCAATGCATCAACAAAATCTACTCCTTTCGGGTCGCGTTAACGGACATAGCGCGAAAATTCTTGTCGATACAGGCGCCACTGTTTCCCTCTTTGATGAAAAGTGGGTCACACCGCTTGGGGTCCTCGTTGAAGGACCGTCATGTCCCATTCGTCTTGGTGACGATAGTCTTATCCCAAGTAAAGGACGGACAATGATCGACATGGAAATCCAAGGCTATAGCGAAAAGATTCGCACTTACGTTCTCCCCTTGCTTGCGGGTGTCAACGTAGTCTTGAGAATGGATTGGTTACGTGCAAATGAGGTTATTATGGATTTCTAGGATAACACAGTTTCTTTCACCAAGAATTGTGAACCAATCCAGTGGCATGTGTTATTCGACACAACCATCCCGGCAGTTCAAATGACGAAAAGTCCAGACGTGTGCTTTGCTCTTGCATGTCAATTCGGACAGCATTACCGCATTGCTAACACACTTTTCGTCGTACAGCTCGAGGAAGCTGGAACCCCAACGCAAGACATTGGGGATTTTCCACCTCAGATGAAGGTTCTGGCGGATGAGTTTAAGGAGGTTTTTGAGTCTATTCCAGACGGACTCCCTCGTGACCGCGCCGTGGGCCACACCATCCCTGTGGAGCCTGGAAAGCTCCCACCGTTTCGACCTCTGTATTGCCTCAGTCCAGCTGAGTACGAGGAGGCTAAACAACAGATTGAGGAGTACCTCAGGAAGGGATGGATTGAGCCAAGCGCATCACCATATGGAGCATCAATCTTGTTCGTTAACAAGAAGGGTGGTGGCTTACGCATATGCGTCGATTACCGCGCCTTAAACAAGATCACGATCAAGAACAGATATCCTCCTCCAAGGATAGAAGACCTGTTCGATCGACTCCAGGGTGCTCAATGGTTTAGCGTGTTGGATCTGGCACAAGGGTACCACCAACTGCGCATCACTGAGGAAGATAATCCCAAGACGGCATTCCGTTCGCCGTTTGGCCATTTTCAATGGCGCGTGCTGAGTTTTGGCTTGACCAATGCTCCGGCCTCTTTTCAGAGGGCCATGAATGATGTGTTTCGCGAAGCTATCGGATACTTCGTTCTGGTTTACCTCAACGATATCTTGGTTTATTCCAAGACTGAAGAGGAGCACACTCAACACCTAAAATGGGTGCTAGGGAAATTGCGAGAACACAAGTTCGATGCTCGTTTATGGAAATGCCATTTCTACAAACGCGAGCTGGAATACCTCGGTCATCTTGTCGGGAACAACAGACTTAAAGTCGACCCCAAGAAGATGGTGGCTGTTCAGAATTGGCCCGTCCCACAAGACGTGGGTCAGATCAGGTCCTTCCTAGGCCTGGCCAATTATTTCCGCCGGTTCTTGGAAAACTACTCGACTGTCGTTGCCCCTCTGACAGCACTCACCCGAAAGGGTAGTGCATGGGAGTGGACTCGACAATGCCAAGAGGCATTTGACAAAGTCAAAACAAAGCTGACCAATGCTCCGGTTTTGGTATTGCCAGATCTTTCTCAACCCTATGAGGTGGTCACAGATGCCTCGACAGTAGGGATTGGGGCGGTACTCTTGCAGGAGGGCCGTCCTGTGGCATTTGAGAGTAGGAAGCTCTCCTCGGCAGAGCAGCGCTATACGACGTTAGAACAAGAGTTGCTGGCGGTCGTGCATGCGCTGCGAACATGGTGATGTTATCTGGAAGGTGTGGAGTTTGTGGTCATGACAGACCATTGTTCGAACACCTATTTCTCTACTCAAGCCACGCTCACTCGGCGCCAAGCCCGCTGGGCAGAACTCCTTAGTGGGTTCACATTCGATATTCGATATCGTGCAGGTTCTACAAACATGGCTGACCCCCTCAGCAAACAGACAATAGGGGCAGTGACTGGGCTTGATGAAACCGAGGATAAGGCAGTGGTTGCTGCTTGCTTCGGTATTCTTGCCGTGGCTCGAGTGAGTGAGGTCACCTTCAGTGGTTTTCTGAAACGCATCCGTACAGGATACCATATTGACCCCTGGTTCCAGAACCCACAAAATACGAAGGGCCTCAAGTACGAGCATTAGCTCTGGTGGCGAGAGAAAGAGATTGTAATACCCCACGTGGGTAACTTGCGGAATGATATAATTGAGGAAGTGCATAGCACCAAGTACGGGGGACACCTGGGTATCAAGAAAACCTGGTGGGCCTTAAGTGATGTGTACTGGTGGCTTGGATTGGGGACTGAGGTCCAACAATTCGTATCGCGTTGTGATGCATGCGCAGGCAACAAGTCAGACACGAAAAAGCCTGGTGGTTTGCTTCAACCACTGGAGATTCCAGACGAACCTTCGGAGAGTGTCTCACTGGATTTCATCACATACCTCCCAAACACACGCGACGGTCATACTGCGATCTTGGTCTTTGTGGATCGATTGACCAAAATGGTGCACTTCGTTACTACTACAACAGACGTATCTGCGGAAGATACGGCCAAGTTGTTTGTAGCACACGTGTTTCGCTTACATGGGTTACCGCGTGTGCTGGTGTCCGATCGAGATCTGCGCTTTACAAGCCGGTTCTGGTACGAAGTTACACAGACACTCGGAACGAAGTTAAAGATGTCGTCAGCCTTCCATCCCCAAACAGATGGGCAGATAGAGCGGACGAATCGTACTCTTGAGCAGATGCTTCGTTCCTTCATTGGCCCAACTTAGGATGATTGGGATGACTTGTTACCTGTGGTTGAGTTCGCAGTAAACAACTCTGTCCATGAAAGTACCCATGAAAAACCCTTCATTCTGAACTGTGGTCGGCATCCCGCGACACCTGCTACGCATGGGATAGGCGGACTGCGAGTCCCTGCCGCGAAAGACTTTGTGGGCAAGCAGCAAGAAGTGCTCAAGTCTGCTCACCGCTGTCCCAGCAGCGACAAAAGACTTATGCCGACATGAAACGCCAGGAAGTCTCTTTTGAGGTTGGAGACAAGGTATTATTGAGCACGAAGAACATTCGTCTCAAAATCCCTGTGGCACGAAAGCTGTTCCCTCGATGGATTGGGCCGTTCGAGGTGATCCAGCGCGTTGGTGTGGTAGCTTACAAGTTGAAGTTACCCGAAACATTGTAGATTCACAATGTCTTCCACGTGTCTCTGCTCAATAAGTACATTGCTGAAGGCAAGTACTTACCTCCGCCAACGATCGTCCTCAGAAAGGAACTCTTTTATGAGGTCGAGCGTGTGCTCATGCACCGTGATCGACAGCGCGGCCGCAAGGCAGTACGTGAGTTCCTTATTAAGTGGAAAGGCTATGGGCCTGATCACAACTCATGGGAGCCAGAGGAACATTTGACCGAAACTGCGGTTCACGGATATCTGGAAGACCTGGCTCAAAGAGTAGCCTCACAACCAGTGGATGGTGTTGACCCTGGTCGTAATGTGATTCGGCGTGCTCGAAGCACCCGTCCCCAGAAGCACTCTACGGCAACGAGGACGTTGCCACCTAGAGGGGGAGGAGTGTAACGCATGGCCGCTGCATAGTACACGGGCCTAGAAATGACCATCCCAACCACCTTTCACAAATTGGCTACCTAGGTAGCGCGAAATGGGAAGGAAGGGTTGGGAGGGGAGGATTGGGATTGGTCGGTACTTGGGACCAATCAGATTTTAGTTGTACAAATTGAGTTGGCGAAATTCCCAACACATGCGATGGTTGGATTTGTGACCAATCAGAACCAGGGAGTTGGTTGGCAATGCCAACTCAACTCGAATATTCTTATGCTGTACACTGTATGCTAATCTGAATACATTGCTGTAAACCTTTCATTGGTTGGAAATCCAACCCTTTTGCCACATAAGCTAGCTCACCTCCTTGGAGCCATGGAGGAGGTTGAGCAGCTGCTGGGAGTCATTGGAAGGGGTCTGGGCTGAGAAGCTCATTCTCAACTTCCCACTCCAAGAAATCAATCTTGAAATGGGATTTTTCTCTAAGTCATGAGCTCTCCTCACAAGACTTCTTACACTAGTAGCTTCTAGTATAGTCTCCTAGGGGAAGCCCTACCCAACCAGAGCTTCAAGTACTATCCTCCAAGAGTTTTCCTCAAGCTTAAGCTACCTCTTGGAGGGGACTCTTCCTAAGTACAACGCTAGGAGATCGTTAGTTGACTTTGTACTTCATTATTATATCCTAGGAACTTGGGTGTTGGTTTTTTACTTCAACCCTTGTTGCCCATGCTATAAGGGCAAGGGTTGTTACATGCAGGTTCTAAAACGAGTTGGCGGGCCTGAGTTTGCCTTGCCGCAGTGCCAGGCGGAGTAGCTTTAACGACAATCGGTTTTGCCTCTGGCACTAGTAGTGTGTTCCGTCGCAATCGAAAGCGTCGGTTGTTCCCGAGAAGCGGGTCCCTTCCCGTCGTTGATGTCGAGCCGACTGGATCACGGCAAGGAGACAGCAACAGATTGACGCCGATGAACAGCGGCTCTCTGATTGGTGACTGCACGGACCTCGAGATCGACTGTGCTGCAGCAGATAGCCGCGATCTCGAGAAACCCCAAACCACTCTAAGTGTGCGATAAGAGCAGCAGCAGCAGCTGAGGGTGGTGATAATAGTCGCGACGTCGAAGCTCTTGCCTATCGCCTCTCGCTCGACGTTGGCATGCCGAGGGCGATACCGCAGCAGCAGCTGGACGCCATCGCCACGTGCCTCTTAGTCGCAAACGCCATGTGCGACTGGCCTGACTCAAGTGAGCGCAAACAACAAGACGCGTTCGGCTTCCGCGTGCTGCGCAGCATGCCGGGGGAAGCGGAGTCGCTGCTGCTGCGAGGTGAGCAGGTGGATGAGTGGGCCAGGGGGAGCGGGGCAGGGGGATGAGCGGGGCAGGGGGAGGGGGGGCAGGGGGATGAGCGGGGCATGGGGATGAGCGGGGCAGGGGGAGTGGGGCAGGGGGATGAACGGGGCATGGGGATGAGCGGGGCATGGGGATGAGCGGGACATGGGGATGAGCGGGGCATGGGGATGAGCGGGGCAGGCGGACGGGCGTTGGCCAGTCAAGAGAGGTCCATGAGAGCGTCTGGCAAGAGCTTCTCTCCTCTGCAGCAATAGCAGCGCTGGCCCTCGTGGACCCCCACTCCACTTTGCAGACATGCTCCTTCAACACACACACCTCTGCACGTCTCCTCCCCTCATGCCTTCTCACTTCATGCCTTCTCCCCTCATGCCTTCTCCCCTCATGCCTTCTCCCCTCATGCCTTCTCCCCTCATGCCTTCTCCCCTCATGCCTTCTCCCCTCATGCCACCCCCCTCATGCCACCCCCCTCATGCCACCCCCCTCATGCCAGCCCCCTCATGCCACCCCCCTCATGCTTTCAACCCCGTGCCTGACCTCCCACGCCTGACCTCCCACGCCTGATTTCCATGCCTAATCTCCAAGCCTAACCCCCATCCCTACCCCCCCATGACTAACACCCATGCTTTGCCTCCCATGCCTCACCCTCACTCCTAACCAACCCATTTCTACTCCCCCCATGCCTAACACCCTATGCCTAACACCCCATGCCTAACTCCCCATGCTCAAGCCCCACCCTGTTATGCCGAACCCCCATGCCTAAGTTTTCAATGCCTAACCCCCCATGACCCTCCCCATCATGCCTCCCCCCATGCCCAACACCCCATGCCTAACCCCCATGCCTAACCCCCATGCCTAACCCCCATGCCTAACCCCCATGCCTAACCCCCATGCCCAACCCCCATGCCTAACCCCCATGCCTAACCCCCCCCATGCCTAACCCCCATGCCTAACCCCCCCCATGCCTAACCCCCATGCCTAACCCCCATGCCTAACCCCCATGCCCTTAGTTGGTCAATTACGTTTTCGTACGTTTACGTACGTTTATGTGTTACGTTTACGCGTACGTTTGGGCGCACGAAATGAGTTTACGTTTCCGGGCATGCAAAACTTTTTTTGGGCTGCCCTAGGTATAGGAGGTCCCCAAGTAGGCTTGTGGAACACTGCAGCAACTTAAAAAGATGTTCCGATATGCAAAAAGTCCCTCAAAAAAATACTGACCAGAACTATGACATACATAGATTACCCTTCAGGTCTAGTCACCTGGCACATCATCCTGCGCGTCAACATAGCAACAATCCTCAAAGTCATCGTCATCCAAGGGCTTGTAATCATCGAGCTCCTCCTCCCCCTGGGTTACTATGGTGCCATTGACCATCCTGTTCTTCGCAAAATCCGCATGCAACTTTCGCACCGTGTTGTAGTTGCTCGTGACATAGACTAGGTCCACGAGTCGTTTCAGTCAAGACGATTGCGGCGCACGGCATGGACCGATTCCCAAGCGGACCAGTTGGTCTCGCATGTGGATGCAGAGACACATTGTTTGAGGACTCTGCAAGCAAGCTTGGCGACGTGAGGGCAGTCACTACCATTGAACCGCCACCAATGCACTGGGTCCAACTTCCCTTTTTTAATGAGACCACTCTCTTTACGTGGCTTTTGATCGCCGATTTTCCCTGTGCCCTGGAGGTAAATCTCAAGCTCCTCCTCAACAATAGTGGCCAGGGGCTTGGAATCACCCTCCGCATCGATGATCTCCTCGCCGTCATAGTATTCTCTGATGAATTCAGTAAAGATGTTGCTGCACTCGTTATCCGGGCCAAAAAATTCAGCAAACTGGTTGGGCGGATACAAAATCTGCCCAACGACGTAAAGCACACATTTGACGTTGTTATTCCACCTGTTGCGTACCGCCTTGGCAATGGTTTTCTTCTCCCCCACCTGGAGATCACGACATGCCGCAATGACCGACTCCTCGAGATCCAGCATTTTCTCATATATCAGCCCCATTACCTCCTGGTTCCCGTCAACTTCCCTCAGTAGTTTGTACACCGGCTCCAACACCTTCACCACCCACTCGACTCCCTTCCAGAACTCGTTATCCTCAACTTTCTCTTTCGCCCACGTCATCTTCTCCTTCTTCGCGGCAAAATCGCTCCACCCCTTCGTCCACATTATCTTGTTCAACACCTCGCGCACTTTGACAAGGCGTTCCACCGCAATGAAGTTCGTACCGATGTACTCCACTTTCGGGACGCAGGGACTGAGCAAGTAAGACGAGGGACTTTTGCTCACGCAAGCGACCCGTCATCCAGTGAGCATTCTTCAATGTCGAGATCAACCGCTGCGCGTCCTCGATAGTAGGCGCTGCCCAACCTTGGTCGCTGATGTCTTTCATGAGATTGTTGAGTGAGTGCGCAGCGCAACGGATGTACTCCAATTTTGGGTATTCGGCCTTGATGATCGTTGCCGCACTGATGTTGCTGCTCGCGCCGTCCATGAGAAACCCCACGACGTTTTCGCTGCCAACCATCTTGATTGCTGCCTTAAGGTGCCCGGCAATGAACGCCTCGGACTTGATTTCTGTGCCGCAATCCACGCTGAAGAGGAAGACCGATGCGTACGTGTTGACCGCCGGAAAGTTGAGTTGTGGATGGTCGACACCGTACGTCCACCCATCATTCGTGACGCACATGCCCACCTTGCTCCAAGATTCCTTGACCGATTTCAACGCGTTGTCAGTGTTCGTCTTGCACTCTTCCAAAAGGCGTCCCATTATCAACTTGCGGCTGGGCGGCATGAGATTCGGACCTGCAGCCGTAACCATCTTGACCATGTTCTTGAAGGCCTCATGCTCTGCAACATTGGGAGGAATGCGACAGACGTGGAAGAACGTGGCGACCGCCTGCTGCGCCTTCGCCACGTCGGTCGGCGTAGGGCGATTGT